CTGGGACTACAGGTGTTCACCACCCACCCAGATAGTTTTTCTACTTTTAGTACAGATGGGGTCTCCCTCTTGCTCAGGCTGGCCTCGAACTCCTGTGTTCAAGCAATCCACCTGCCTCACCTTTCCCAGAGTGCTAGGATTAAAGGTTTGAACCATCATGCCAAGCTAAGATCAGTCTTTTGAAACAAGATGTTTTCGGTAATAATTTACATTTAAAAGGAATTTTGTAATAGTTGGCTAAATGAAGAATACATTTTAGTTCAGTAAGTGAACTATCTTTCGGTTTGAGACACCAGTTTGTGTTTTAAAGAATCACAAACATGTTTTCAGTAACACTTCTTAATGTATTTGCTTCAAAATGGACTTTTCTCTTCCCACTAAGCTTTAAGTATAAAGAAAAAAGTTGTGCCTTTCCATATTCAAAGATTAAGGAAAAAGTTGAAAGTTTATATTTACAGTTTTGAAAATGTTTTGAAAATACTGAGGTTGGCTGCTCTTATAAATAAAATAAAGGAAATACGAGTTGTGTAGGGCTCTTATTATTTAGGAGGCTGACACCTTCAATTCAGCTTAATCAACATTTCAAATACTAATATTAAGCTGAATTGTAAATTAATGCAAATATTTGGACAGCCAAAAGGTCTACCTTTTTTTTTCTTAGAGACAGAGTCACAGAGTCTTACTTTGTCACCCTCTGTAGAGTGCTGTAGCATCACAGCTCACAGCAACCTCCAACTCCTGGGCTTAGGCAATTCTTTTGCCTCAGCCTCCTGAGTAGCTGTGACTACAGGTGCCCGCCACAATGCCCAGCTACTTTTTATTACAGTTTGGCCGAGGCCAGGTTTGAACCCACTACCCTCAGTATATGGGGCTGGTGCCCCACCCACTGAGCCACAGGCAATGCCAAAAAAAAAGGTCTACCCTTGAGCTACTTCAAATTGAAGTGCCCTGTCGTCATAGCTCATGGAGTTGGAAAGCCAGTCCTCCCTGTTTCTAAGAGTCTTTCAAATATTCTTTTCTAGTTTATCTGTTAACTGTAGAAGCAGCAGCAGAGTATAAAAGAGGTTTACAAGATGAAAAAGAGTTTAAAATACCATCAGGGTAAAAAGTAAAGGGAAAAACAATCTCCACTTATAGAAAGAAAATAATGGGAAAGTAGCAGTGAGGACCAGAGGCAGCAATAGCAGTGGCAGTGCTGCTCTGCGAACTGCGAAAGGTTGTGGTCACAGACAAAAATATCTCAGAAAATTCCATGTTGCCATAAACCAGAAACATTCAAACATGTCAGTTTAACAATTCTTCCATCTTAGTTCAGTTAACTAGCCTCTTCAATGTGTCACAAATACGGAAGGCAACGCACCTGAACTCTGAGCAGGTAGTCTACGGTGGAGATGATTATGTTGACAGTTGTATTATTGCCGGTCTGAGTTCTCAGATAATTTTGAAAATCTACAAAAGACCAAAAAAATTAATGTCATTGAAGCTCACTCAAAAGTTTAAAACGAGGTAGTTCAATCACTCCATGACAAACAATATGGTCTACAGAAAAATTATGGCTAAGGGTAGTGTTTTATCTATATTTTATATTAAAATATGAATATTAAATATTAAATATTCATTAAATATGAATATTAAAATATGAAATGATTCAGATAAAACACCACCCTTATTAAAATATGAAATAATTTATATTTTCCATAAAAAGCGAGTGGCGTGATTGTCCCCCAAACATATTGAGATGCCCCACAGAATATCAATATTTTTGTCTTGTTAGCACCTGTTTCTTTATTTCTAGACCTACAACTCCAAGCATGTGAATCACTGAACGTGGCTGCTATATTGAGGCTATAGTAACGTAATTATTCATTCAGTTATCATTCACTTCTCAGTATCGGGCAAGGTGCTGGGGAAGTAACAATAAAAGTAAGATCAAGTTTCTGCCTTCGGGTCCACAGTGTGGTAGAGAGGCAGCTATATAAACAGCTAATGCCAATACATTAAGTAATGAAGTATGTATACTCTCAAGGTAAAGTGATGCAAAAGAAATAAAGTTCTATGTAACTCCACAGATATCTACTGAATCTACATCTTTTTAATACATCACCAGTATTCTCTGACATTAAGAATAATTCCTAAGGTACAAGTGAAACTGGTAGATAAGGACCCTGAAAACAGCAAAGCACCCCTTAACTGTCCCATCGCCCAACGCGGAGCAAGGCTCTACAACTGTTGGTCGACTCAACAGATGATGCACAATTCAGACCAACAGGAGGACCCTGCTGCTGTTGGCTGGAAGACATTTATTTCTTGGTGCTATCAGGGTACCCAGGAGGGTCTGGTGACTTACAAACCTGAGTTGTGTCCCTCACAGAGCAGTTGCAGGAATCTAAAGAGGTCACAGGTGAATTCATCATCTTGCAGGACCTTCTCTCCTGAAGGAAGTGCAGAGAGATCAGACACTGCCAGCCACCCCAGCCTGTCCCTCCCTCTCTACCCCACCTCCGTCCAACTTGCATGTCGATCTAGCATGGTTCCGAACCCAAACCAGTCACAAACCATAGCCACTTTTCCATCTGAAGCTCATAAGATCATGCGCTTGGCAGATAGATGTACTTTTTCTTTGTTAAGAAAAGAACATTTGAATTTTAAAACTCAGATTTCGCTCTGTTAAAAGTAGCAGCATGGGTTTGGCAACATTTTACAAACAACCTAAAGGCTTCAACTTCTCTTTCTTCTTTCTTTTGCTGTTGTTTGGGGGGGAAGGAACATATAGGCATGATCTCTGCTTCTCCTCCAAGGTTAAAGTTAAATTTGCTTTGTTTCTAGAATGTAACCAAATGGTTGGGTGGAAAGCATTCAAGGTGTCCATAACACAGGGCCAGACTTTCTCTTATTAAAAAAGAATTAAAGGATTTTGTAAAAACTGTAAATCACTAGAAAATATGTATTCATTTGTTTTAATTAACCTTGTGTACTGACTACAAAAAAAAAAAAGGCTAGACTTCTGGAAACCAAAACAGAGACTTCACTGGCTGGAGCTTTACTTCTAGGGCGGGGAGGAACTGGGGAACAAACTTAACTCTAAATATCAGACCAAAAAAGACTTTGGTGGCTCATGTATGACAATTAACCCTAAAACGAAGGACAGTGACAAGAAGGACACCCCCTAGTCATAGAAGCTACTCTGCAGCACTGAACACGAAAAAATATCTGTGGGGCAAGGATGAAACCCCAAGGGGGCACAAGAGAGTTTACCTGTATGTTAGTTTAAATGTATCTCCAATTCAAGTAACTTTGAACGCAAAAACACAAGGAAGCAAACAAACACGAAACAGCACCACACAAATAAAAGTTGATTTTTAAAAACAAAAAGCGTCAGCGAAAGAAAAAATTAACGTTATGATCATCTGCTCTGGAATTTAAATTTGTTTAGAAAGCAAAATGACCCAAAAAATGCAGCCAGTGAATGGATGTACTCATGTATTGAAAAAAATACAAGAACTTTTCACAGACTGGAAATACTTTGGGCTGAAAAAGAAAAACTATGCAATGAGCGTGTGTTTACTTCAACTCAAATGATGAATGATCGTAAGGACAGAGAGCCGATGGACTTACCAGTCCGCAGTCTGTGACTTTCAAAGTGACAGGCTTCACATAATGGTAAGGTTAGGAAGCAAAACCATTTTGAAAACTAATATAAACATTAAAAAATGTACATAAAATCACTGTACTTGTTTCCCTGTTAGCCCGCGAGATAAAAACTGTGGGGAAGAAGCTACAATCGCCGGTATACAAATCACACCTGGCAAGTTCAAGGGTTAAAGGCTCATTGTTTTGAAGTTCCATACATGGCTGATAAGTCCATGCCTCAGGGTTGAAGCTCATGAAAGGATAGGAGAGAAAAGGAGAACAGCCGAGGCGAAGAGAGACCCTCAACTCTCTTCATCGGTGAAGACTCACTATCATTTTCATGAGCCATCTTAATCAGAAGAGTCTTTTCCAGGGGGCCTCAAACTTTTTAAACAGGGGGCCAGTTCACTGTCCCTCAGACTGTTAGAGGGCCAGACTGCGGGCCCCAGGACAAGTCAGCTGTTAAGCAGGACAGGCAGTGGTGGCAAAAAACACCCAGCGGGCCAGATAAATGTCCTAGGCAGGCCGCATGTGGCCCACAGGCCATAGTTTGAGGACACCTGGTCTTTTCAAATGAATATGAGCCAAATTATCATGAGTTAGTTATCTAATGATTTTTTTTTTCCTGGAAGCCCATCTACAATGTGAATTCTCCCCAAATCAAATCAATAAACCAAGTACACACTTTCAGTGTTCATGTATTCAGTGTGGAATAGGTTCACTCTTCCTAGAGAGTATTCTGGAAAGTTAACGCTGACATAAATATCATATAATCTACTGTGCACCTGAAGTTGCTCTGCACAGGCATAATGATTTAACCATAAGGTTTAGTTCACTGTTGGTAAGCACAGTACTGTCTTGATTGTACATCCAAGCATGTACGAGTAACTCCACTCACGTAAGGACACAGTGCATACAGCAGAACAACAGGGAGAGAGAGGAGGGGAAGGGGCAGAGTGAGGGCACAGGGCAAACCTTCATTTATTATCACGTGATACCAGGTGTGCACTGGGGTCTATTGCTTAATGAACACCTTCCTGCCTGATTAAAATGCTGCCACTGCCCATGCTGCAAATACGGGGCCCAGTAACAGAGATGGAAGATGGCTTTATGTCTGCAGAAGGCACAGGATCAACAGTCTTATTTTGTGACATATGCAAAGGAAATGTCATTGTGGGACGGAAACCAATATCAGTAACCACAAAATGTAGTAACATGTAGCCAACAGTGCTCGTATACTCTTAAAATATTATTTGTAATTGCTGTATCAGAGCTCTGTGTGAATATTGTGAAGGGCATGCCTTTGGTTTAATTTTTATAAGAGGATTAAGGTGTCTAATACTGTAATAAAGGGAGAGTTCTTTCAATATTGTTGGTGTGCTGAGTTCATTCTTTGTGCCTTCGTTTTTCTCATCTATAAAGTAAGGATAATGTGTACCTTCCTGTCTCTGTCACTAGCTCTTCATAATCTGTGATAATTTTTATCAATTATGAAAAGGTTAATATGTTAGGTGCAATATATTATATGTAATATTATATATATATTAGGTGGACTAACACCATGGTAAAGATGGGAACAGCATAACTAGCTGATTATTATGTTTATTTAAACATATGTATTAGTTGTGTTTATATTTCCTGAAAGCCACCTCAGTTTTAATGGACCTAGTTGTTCTCAAAATGATCAATTTTCATTTGAGAATAATCTAGGTAGACCTCATTTACTCAAGCTAAGAGTGATACAGTAAATCCTATTTTAGAGATCTAATAAAGTTAATGTGATAACCAGACCCCCTTAATTCCCCGCTAAGACCAGTGGGGAAGAATTTCTCCTGAGTCCTTTAGTCCCAGTCTTCCCCAGAGGGAAGGAGAGTTAGATTCTGAGAAGGCCTAAAATAAGGAAGTGTGAAGGGAGGGGTGGACTCCAAGAAAAGCCCCTAGTGGAAAGTCCCAAGTTCTTGACCTGCGATTGTCCGCTGGCTTGTGATTATCCCCTGATTTGTACCTCCACCCTGAACCATGTAACCCCCCAATGTGACCCCTGAGCTAATGTTACCCCTGCTCTGAGCTAACCACAATGTTTGGCTTCTGTTTACGCTTGCTTGCCTAGTTATGCAGAAAATAGAGTATAAAAACCCACTCAGCCTTCCATTCAGGGTTGATTGCTTCTTGTAACATGACCCCCTGCGCAAGTGTAATAAATTTCTACTTAATTATTGCCTCAAGTGGGGTCTGAGTCTCTTTCTCAGCTGTGTGAGTCACAACCTTTTTAAAGACCATTGGTCTGTTCATAATTGGTTTATCCAACTGATAGTAAAGTATGTATCTGCTTAAATTCAGTAAAACAACTCTCAATGTGTGTGTCTTATGGTAACTTGGAATGCCCATGGACAGAGCTTGTAGTTCTCAGAGTATTCTTCAGACAACAGTTAGTTTAATGGTCAATTACTGTTAATGAGTGATTTATATCAATTAACAATTGATTGATAATAGTTATTAATACATTAATAAGAATTTTAAGCAGAAAGACTAGTATGCATCTAAAATAATTAAATTAGGATAAACTGATTCCACATTATCCTCTTTATGGTAAGGCCTTGTCATGTCAATATCTATAATAATGCAAAGTACAGAAGTGAGTCTTGAGGCATGAGACTGGTCACATGAAGAATTCTCTGCAATCTACTGTTAATTGTTACTTAAAAGCACCTCCAGGTCAAAGAGGAAAGTGTTCTCGTTACCAATCTTGAGAGGACTTAAACACTTATTTTTTATAATACTAAAACTGAAGAATTAAAGCTAAAAATATTTTTAAGTAGTTTCAATATCCCTACTTAAATGGCTTAAATAGGACTGATGACTGCTAATTCAATTATATCACAATTCAACTAACAAAAAATCCATTTTTACAAGAGATTTATGTTAACATTTTTTTTGTTTTTTGGCCACGGCTGGGTTTGAACCCGCCACCTCCGGCATATGGGGCCAGCGCCCTACCCTTTTGAGCCACGGGTGCCACCCCTATAGTTAACATTTAATTAGTGATGACAATGTGCTAGGCATTGTGTTAGATCAGAGGTTCTCAACCTTCCTAATGCCACCTAATACTGTGACCCTTTAATACAGTTCCTCATGTTGTGGTGACCCCCAAACACAAAATTATTTTCATCTTTACTTCATAACTGTAATTTTGCTACTGTTATGAATCGTCATGTAAATATCTGATACGCAGGATGTATTTTCATTTTTACAAAGGGGTCATGACCCACAGGTTGAGAACCGCTGTGCTAGATGGACTATCTCATGATTCCATTTCTGATTTATTATAATCCGGTCAATTAGCTAATGCAATCCCATTCTGTAACCAATGTCCTGCATCTGTTAACTGGTAAAGGGTCCCAATCCAGTGAACTTCCATGAACATTCACTAAGTGTCTCTGCTATGCCAGTCCCCGGGGGAGGTGAACACAGTCTGTAAGCTGGAGCAGTTCACCATCCAATGGAAGACACTGGCTGTCAATAGATAATTTCAGTACTATCTGGTCTTTCTGAATTTCATATGTCACGGTTTTTACATTTTGTAAAGTTAGCACCAGGAACTCATGAATTTTCAACTAACAACTGTTATATATACTGTATGTTACTGAAATTGCAAATTTGTATCTGTTTTCATCAATATTAGAATCAAAAGAGAACAATTTCTAGAGATATGACTCTAGTGGTTTCACCGCTGAGCCTCAGATTCATGGTTTGATATGGAGATTAACAACAAATATTCTGACCTCCTTATTTCATGGGGCTG